AGTCCCATGAAAGCCCAAATGAAATCAGCCCATTGCCAGTAGAGTCCCATGTTTTTCCCATTCATGTTGTCTATCTTTGGAGGCTATTTATAACATTACTTTATGCACAAACAAATTGACAATACAGTCAAGTCAAACAATAGTACAATGCAGTCAAACAATAGTACAATACAGTCAAACAATAGTACAATACAGTCAAACAATAGTACAATACAGTCAAACAATAGTACAATCGCAAAATAAATAATACCACATGCATATAAAATGTAAACAAAAATACATTTTTATTAATTTCATTTTGTCTAGTGTTAAAACAATCCTATTTCTGTTCAGAAATGTTCTTAAATAGGCCTTTATCATCAATTTGCTTATATTTAATTTAATTGTCTGGTTTGTCGAATCGTTGTATTGTTGTGATGGTATCTCAAGGGATTATTTTTACTTTTACTTAATGTATTCTGTATGATGCTTGTAATTGAAGTTTGTATGTTACAGATAGTTTATGGTTGGAGAAATATGGTGGAGGTGACGAGGAGCCATTCTGTGTTTCTGGAGCTGTTACAATCAAAAGTGCCAGCAGTAGTTGTAGTAGTAGTACAGGAGGACTTGCTGCAGTTTTGGGGTTACAGCAGCTGAGTGTGGATAGTGCAGATGATGCTGCAGCACCAAGTATAGAGAGGGAGTCTACTGCAATGGACACAACTTCTGATGATATGGTAATGCATGCGAAATATTGTGAGGAGAAGAAACAAACACAACTGTATGACAAGTCAGACAATATAGAGTCATCCCATTCTGTAGATGGGGAACAAACATCAGTACAAACATCACAGCAGATTGTTAAATGTGAGGTCAATGATGCTACAAACCAGAATAAACCACTTGTAACTACTGAAAATCAAAATAAACCACTTGTAACCAGTTCAAACCAGAATAAATCACTTGTAACCAGTACAAACCAGAATAAACCACTTGTAACTACTGCAAACCAGAATAAACCAGTACTATCTACTGCCAATACTCTTCAAGAAACAGCAAGTGGAGGAAACCCTCTTGAAGGGATCAATTTAGACGCTTATTGTGAAAATTTCAACCTCCCTGGAAAAAATAAAGGACAGACACTGCATTATAAAGATTTATCTGAACTTTTAGAAAGTCTGAATCTTTCAAAATATCATCGTGTGTTTGATGAACAAGATGTGGATCTTAGGTTATTCCTGACATTGACAGATATGGATCTCAAAGAAGTAGGAATCAAGTAAGATATTTAATTGTTTCATTCCTGCATTCACTGTGTAGCATTCACTGTGTAGTATTTACTGTGTAGTATTCACAGTAGCATTCACTGTGTAGTATTCACTGTGTAGCATTCACTGTGTAGTATTCACTGTGTAGCATTCACTGTATAGCATTCACAGTGTAGTATTAACTGTTGTATTCACTGTATTGTATTCACAGTGTAGCATTCACAGTGTAGTATTCACTGTAGTATTCACTGTGTAGCATTCACTGTGTAGTATTCACAGTGTAGCATTCACAGTGTAGTATTCACTGTAGTATTCACTGTGTAGCATTCACTGTGTAGTATTCACTGTGTAGCATTCACTGTGTAGTATTCACTGTAGTATTCACTGTATTATTCACTGTGTAGCATTCACTGTGTATTATTCACTGTGTAGTTTTCACTGTGTAACATTCACTGTAGTATTCACAGTGTAGCATTCACGGTGTAGCATTCACGGTGTAGCATTCACTGTGTAGTATTCACTGTGTAGTATTCACTGTAGTATTCACTGTATTATTCACTGTGTAGCATTCACTGTGTATTATTCACTGTGTAGTATTCACGGTGTAGCATTCACAGTGTAGCATTCACGGTGTAGCATTCACTGTGTAGTATTCACTGTAGTATTCACTGTATTATTCACTGTGTAGCATTCACTGTGTATTATTCACTGTGTAGTATTCACTGTGTAGTATTCATTGTGTAGTATTCACTGTAGTTTTCACTGTGTAACATTCACTGTGTAGTATTCACAGTATAGCATTCACTGTGTAGTATTCTGTGTAGCATTCACTGTGTAGTATTCACTGTGTAGCATTCACTGTGTAGTATTCACTGTAGTATTCACAGTGTAGCATTCACTGTATAGTATTCACTGTAGTATTCACTGTGTAGCATTCACTGTGTAGCATTCACTGTGTAGCATTCATTGTATAGCATTCACTGTGTAGTATTCACTGTAGTATTCACTGTGTAGCATTCACTGTGTAGTATTCACTGTGTAATATTCACTGTGTAACATTCACTGTGTAGCATTCACTGTGTAGTATTCACTGTGTAGCATTCACTGTGTAAAATTCTTGTATAGCATTCACTGT